GACTCAAACCGGGCTGAAATAGTAAATAAGTCTGTGTTTTTCCACAGCGGCTCATAAGCTAATTGCGCTTGATTAGAGAATGCGCCTCGGTTATTTTACTCGATCGGCAGTGTCACGCTGGTTTTGAAGACACGCTCACCATATCACAACCAATGCCTTTTCGTGACCCGCTTATGTTGTGCATGCAACACACAACTGCTCTTTCGTAACAACATATGAACGGTTATGTAAACTAGTGATATACCAATAAATCTGATGCTATTTGGCTGTTTTAGGGTCATCATATCTGTGTCCAATTAATGGAAGCATTAAATCTCCTTCCAAATTTTAAAACAGAATGTTCCGACTTGGAATTCTGATTGGGTTGAGTTGTGTTTGAAGCGGTTTTAAAATGTTGCCATCGTTAAGGGGGTTTTAATGCACCGTAACGTTTGATTACAGTCAGATAAAAACAGTCATTTGTCCTTTTAAATGTCATGTAAATGCTTTAGTGCGATTGAAATTGTGCTAGTCTGGTTTTGGCAAATGTGGACTATAACAGACCTTGATATAATGTGATTGTAGCTCAGCTTTGTCCAGCATTTATACATGTATTTACAATTATTTATATTAATAACACTACAGGCCTATGCATTGTGCACTTGATAGGTTTTCAGAACGTTTGACTGATTAAAGATATTTTTTTAACGTTTAACTTGTCAACATAAAAATGTAAACGTTATTCAGGTAGCATTTTCTTTATTTAAAATTTGCAGAACTGAACTAGAAAGTTTTATTCTAAGTGCACCACACTTGGTGTAAATGTAAAACAACTTCACATGTAAAATATCTTTGCAGAAACGATGCATGAAACATGAAGGCAAATATTGTATAAACTTGTTTTGCACATATCCTATGTGTTCAGAAATAATATAAAATAATGAAAATGCTAAATATTTCTTAGCCAAAATGTAGCCATTCCGTTTTAGAGGTCAACTCAAAAAGGCAAAATATAGCACCAGTAGTATGCTATTATTAACAGTAAATGTTAAGTAAAAACAGAAAATAACAGCAGCTTGCAGCCTGTCACCATCATGCAAACATTAAATATCAAACATACAGTAATAGTTCTTTACAGGTTTTTCATTGCACTGCACTGCTTTTCCATAGTTTTTTTTCTGTGTAAATGTGCTTGATGGACATGTTTGACGTCAAGTCTTGTGCAGCGTCTCATGCATGAAACAGCATTTTTATGTCATTTTTTATCATTGGCGTAGGGGAGAGTGGGGTAAGATGAGCCAGTGGGTAAGTTGACCCACCCCCTGTATCTTGCCAACTGTACACTTTTATTGTCATGTGACCATATATTTTGAAACCACCCATAATTTCTGCCAGACTGTGAAAAGAAGAAACACACGGGAGGAGTGGAAGGCACCCAATTACTTTAAAAACTGTTTTTGGCTTGTCAAAGTACAATTTTAGCATAACATATGTAATGACTGTTACATCAAAGCAAATTTATCCAGGTCTAAAAATATTTATGATGCATATAAGTGATTTAGCAATGTATAAAACCATGTAAATCATTTAGCTAAATATTAGCCTGAATTAGTAAGCAAGCTAGTTTTTT